TTTGCTTACTTTGGTTCCTGCTATACAATATTTACTAAGTTATGCATAGTTTGTCTTTAAATATTTGATACTTCACGGGTTGTCGTGTTCTTTGTTTCTTAAGAACAGAAACTTTTAGCTTACGCATTCTAAAACTGTTTTTGATTGCTTAAAACCCTTAAGCCGACCAACGTAAACCGAGTCAAGTGGAAAATTACATCACCGTTTTTTATTAATCAAATAAGACCTAGAAAGCCTGTTCAAACCGGAATCGAACTCTTATAAATTGATGCGCGAGTTCTAACTGGCAATTATTGAAAATAAAATCAACATATTCTACTCTGTGTTCCAAGAAACAGGACTCAAAATAATCCCTTTCAAATCAGAAACAATCAACTGAAATTGGAATAAAAGAAGTGGTAGAAAATCCCCTGAATATATTATAAAAATTAAAGTTGTGTAATTAGTAATTACCATGCCCTTCAAGAAACTCAATTCATGGATCATTCATGACAAATTTAGCACAGGTTATAAGGAAAGTAAACACATGATATGCTGCGCAAAGAGCATAATTAATAGAAGTATATGTGTTTGGTTATTATCCAGTTCACACTCCTTTCCGATATTTTGAAAAGTGTAGTGTTTTATTCCTTCTCTGTTTAGGATTATGTGTCCAGTTCCTTCTAAAATCTTTTCATTCTCTTTTACTTTCAGTAACTACTTGCGACATAGTGACCTTTCTTAAGGTGAATTCATTTAAAAAATATTATAAATTTTTATCATTAAGAGAATCGTGTCGTCTATAATCATGTTATAAAAGGGGAGCTGAGACACCATGCCTTTTGACTGCATGGGACTATCTAATATCATTGCATGTGACCGTAATGACAGGTTGATCTTTTTTCACTTTGTTTTCCCCAAAGATTCCCATCATTACACTCGTTGTAGAACTGGAGTTTGCTGTGATAAGTACTGATACCAAAAATTTGAGTAATGACTTTTATCCAGTTATGAGTATTTAGTTTTAGAAATTGTCTGAAAATATGTATAGAAATAATTAAATTTTGTTTACTAACTGATTTCAGAATTTTACTATTGCAAGAATAAATCAAAGTTGATAATTTTTGTATTAGATACAGGGAATAGAAAATATATCCAAACTTGAATTCTAATTATGAATCACCACAGGCCAAATATGCATGTTTTTATTATATTATTTAACTAAAACTGTGCAAGTAGATTACAAAAATGTTACCCAATGAATAAGAGTCATTATCCTATTTGTTAGCTCATTATTAATAAAAACAATCATTAGATGAAAGTGTATATAATACCATAATACTGCTTGACACAAAGTATACGGCAAAATATTCTAAATTTGCATTATTTATTGAAAAGTGCACTTAAACTACTGCATTGCATTATATATTACATCATAATATAGCTAAATTATTCAGTATAATTTCCCTTTGAAGTAAATAAATGTCTTATTTGATGACAATGATTTAGTAATAATGTTTTGTGCAATTCATCTTGTCTGTATACAATTCAAAAACTTCAGTAAATTATGAATTTTATAAGTAAACTATAAACTTTATATATATGCTATCAGGCCTTCACTGACCACCGCTACGCTTTTGAAACTAAACTTAATATTTAAACTCATATCTTCAAAAACCGGTAACGATTTAATAACAAACGTTGTGTGCCTGTAATTATCATGTCAAACTGCAACTTTCAGTTTGAGTGCAATATCACGTTTCCAAAATCGACCTGCCCTAAAGTCTGTCTTGTGTGTAAGTTGTATACATACGCTTGTGACATTAATCGTACATGCATTTAATGCATATGCACAATTTGATTGAGTCTGAATATCAGACACTGAAATAATGCATTTCCCTTCAATTCATTCTGAAAATCCCTTACCCTGGGAAAGATAAGCTTTCTTATCTAAGATGTATGTCTTGCTGCGAATGGATAAGTAATAGGATTATCTTTCTCTTATCTACATTGAGAGAGCTTTATTTCATTCTGTTTCAATAAATTGATATCAATCTATTTATTTGTATCTCTCAATATCAGTCTATACATGCCTAACTATTGATATATCTCGCGAGATAAATGTAGAATCCTGTTCGGTCAAAATTCTGTCCTTTGGCGGTGAAATTGAGGTGAAATCTCCTGAGCGGCGGCCTAGACGATGAGATATGGAAACCGGGCGCTGCCAAGACTACATGCCCTCTCCAATCTTCGCCGTAATGGCGATCTCCAAATGAATGTTTGGGATTACTTTTGGGGACAGTTTGGCTGCAAACGTTGCCGGAAAGTTGCCAGTCTTGAAAGTCGACAACGTTCGGGACTCCAATCTGGCTTTTCTGTCTGGATTTATTTCTATAAACTTTCCCGAATTTAGATATATCCGAAAGGACGCGGAATTTCAAAATCATGTTGTTTTTTTTTTCTTTTCTTCCGCTAGATGCAGTGATTTTTTAGGCTGTCGAGTTCCATATAGACGAAGTAGCTGGTTATGAGGCGCCAGTTTTCCGCCTTCGCCCACTCTCCGGCTTTGATTTAGAGTTAGTTGTCAGAAGCTATTTGAGACTCATGCTATGGACACATATTATATATCTGTCCTCACTATCACACCAGGTTATAACAGCTTTGGAACATATATATAAACATTATATACATTACAGTCTACACATGTCTGCTTGAATATCACTGAATATACATATATATATATATATATATATATAAATATATATATATATATATATATATATATATACATATATATATATACATACATATATATATATATATATATATATTAAAAGACATTTTTTAGTTTAACGTTCTTTTTTATAGATACAAGTATTTAAGTAAATGCGCTGTTTATAATAAACAGTATTAAATAACATTTACCGGCCTGAATGTCCGACAAATTTTCATAGAAAATATTCGCAGTTATGAATTAATATAAACAGAGCATTTACTTAAATACTTGTATCTATAAAAGAACGTTAAACATAAAATGTCTTTAATAAATAAATTGTCGGACTTTGTCCATTTGTTAATATATATATATATATATATATATATATATATATATATATATATATATATATATATACACATATATATATATATATATATATATACATATATATATATATATATACATATATATATATATATATTTATATATATATATATATATATATATACATACATATATATATATATATATATATATATATATATATATATTTATATATATATATATATATATGAAAATCTCTCCGATTTAACCAGTAGAAAGACAATATTTATGAATAAAAATGACAATAGTAAAACTGGCAATTGCTGACGCGTTTCGTCCAATGTGGACTTTATCAAACAAAATACGAAAATGAAATTAAATGAACAAGGTAACTAGTAAAAACAAAAACAGAATGTACCGAGCAACTGGAATGTAGAGAAACGCTATTTTCATATTTTTTATCTGAAAAATAAACACAGATATAATGACAATATTCTCCACACGTGACAATTACTAACGTTATTTTTCAGTTAAAAATATGAAAATAGCATTTCTCTACATTCCATTTGTTACGTACATTCTGTTTCCTTATCTGTATTGCCATATTCACGACGTTTCTGCATTTTACGCTTCGACCGTCTTCAGGACATATGGCCCAGTGGATAAAAGCTTTGGTTCGATCCAGTGACTTGAGCCAAAATGTTTTGAGTTCAATACCCGGCTACTGCAGTGGGGAACAAAAACTTGGAGACTTGACTTAAAGGGAGGTAACTGAGATATCCGGAAGATTTCTGGTACGAGGAACTAGAACAATCGAACCCCGGTGGACAAAATAATGGGTTCAGTTCGAAATTTCAGTCATCTGAAGAAAGCCGGAACGTACAACGGCTGAAACGTTGTGTATACGGCAATAAAGATGAGGTAACAGTCCGAACAATGTAAATAATGTAAATAATTACAATAATTTATCTTAGAAATATAGAGGAATATCATCCTGTTAGAATGTCTTACATCTTAAGAATCTAACCTTATACAATCTCAAAGAGTTAAACCATTTTTTGTAGTTTTCTGTGTGTAATTGAATGACAACTAGCGATAAACTATACACTTTAAATAAATTAAATTTCTCTTTATGTTCTTCGTGTTTCGTGTAATATTTTCCCATTTAAGCGTTAATGTTTCCAAACTATGCACTAAATGTACTGTTGGACTGTGACATGACTGTAAACAATCAACATTATTAACGGCAAAATTGTCTTAGTTTGAAAATAACTTTCCAAAATCCAGGTGCTTTAAATCAACGTTTGGTAATGCCTGGAACAAATCCTCTAATCGAGTACAAATATGCAGAGTAGAGCAAGCAACTGACAGATAGGGACAGTTGCTTCAAAGATGAATACTGAGACTGTTATTTTTCTACCATGGTTGTCAGGTTATCTTCTAAAGATATTCTTTTTGTTGTTCTTCTTCAAACCGAATATGTAAGACGCATGAAATCTAACTGTACGCAAGATATTCTTTTCAGTGTATCTGTATATCTAGTCCAGTGTATGCAATGCGACATTGGAGTGGTGAAACTGAATAAATATCTACTTTGTTTGAACACTTTGGCTTGAGGCTTTTATGTCATTTCTGAAGAAAATGAAGTGATGGCAAGTTGGGCTGTAAAAGGTTTTTGGTAAACGCGATTAACATCTTTAGATATGGCTGCGTCGTCTGGTGTCTGGCTTTGTTTAGGGATCGGAAAGACAGTAGATTGGATTAGCGGCCATTTCGTCGAGATGTGAAGTAGCCATTAAACGAAAACGAGGCTGAAGATGTATTTGTAAAAAGGATTATTATCGGGATGCAAATGGCAGAGAAGGAAAGGTAAAAACAAAACAAGGTAAGAAGAAAAATGAAAGAAATACAGAAAGAGTAGGTTTAGATGAAAGGGAAATGATCAAATAATCTGGTAAAGTTCAATAATTTTAAGTCGCTAAGTAGATGGAAGGAATACTAGGAAAGTGCTATTGATGGAGGAAATATGTGAAGATAAGAAGGAGAAGGAAAGCAGATGGGGATGAGAGAGGAAGAGAGAGAGAAAAGCAGAGGAAAGAGAGTTGAATATTTGGTAATGAAGTGGGTGGGAATTAAGGTAAAAAAAAGAAAGCAAGGACCAGAAAACGATGAAAAAAGTAAACAAGACAGGGATGGTGAATATATACATAAGAAAGAAAGAAAGAAAGAAAGAAAGAAAGAAAGAACAAAAGGAAAGAAAGAAAGAAAGAAGGAACAACGAAAGATAGAACATACAAAACAGAAAGAATGAAACAAAGAAAGAAAGAACACCGAAAGGAAAAAAAAAAAAAAAAAAATAACAGCGAGGAAAGAAAGAGCAATGAAAAAAGAAAGAAAAATAAATAAATAAAGAATGAACACCGAAAGGAAAAAAGAAATAACAGCGAAGAAAGAAAGAACAACGAAAGAAAGAAAGAAAAAAAGAAAGAAAAGAAAAACAACGAAAGGAAAAAAGAAATAAGAGCGAAGAAAGAAAGAACAACGAAAAAAAGAAAGAAAAATAAAGAAAGAAAGAAAGAACACCGATAGGAAAAAAAGAAATAAGAGCGAGGAAAGAAAGAACAACGAAAAAAAGAAAGAAAAATAAAGAAAGGAAGAACAATGAAAGGAAAAAGAAATAACAGCGAAGAAAGAAAGAACAACGAAAAAAATAAAAAAAAATAAAGAAAGAAAAGAACAACGAAAGGAAAAAAAATAACAGCGAAGAAAGAAAGAACAACGAAAAAAAGAAAGAAAAAGAAAGAAAGAATGAAAGAACCACGAAAGGAAGAAAATATGGATGAAAGAATGAATTAAAAATGAGAGAAAGAAATAATGAAATTAAGAGAAATAATTTATGAACGAAAGAAAAACAGAAAACAACGATGAATGAGTGAAGGAAGGAAAGAATAAAAGAATCAAGGAAAGAATATAAAATGAATGAACAAAAGAAGGAAATTTTGAAGGAAGGGAGGAAGGAAAGGACGAATGAATGAAGAAAGAAACAAAGAAAGAACACTAATATGAAGGAAATAAAGAAACAGTTAAAGGTTATATGTGATAAATAACGTATAAATGAAAAAGAAAGAAGATGAATAAAGGGAGATAGGAAGAAAGAAAGTAATAACGTATGAAAGAAAGAAAAGATAAAGGAAGGAAGCAAAGAAGGAAGGAAAGAAGGAAGGACATTATGAAAGAAAGAAAGAAAGAAAGAAAAAAGATGAAAGAAAAAAGATGAAGAAAGAATGAAAAAGAAAAAAGGAATGAAAAATTAAATGAAAAAAGAAAGATAAAAGAATGAAATAAAAACAAGTATGGGTTAAAAAAAAGACCAAAATATAAATGTCCAACTAAAAAGTGAAAATAGTGCTACCTCAGAAATAAAATAATCAAACACATAGGCATATGTGGGGACTGTTACGTATATATGTGTTATATAGGAATAATGTGTCGCTGCCGACAGTGGAGTTTGAACACAGATCACGAGAAAGCAAAGACAGGCGAAGCCATTTTGAATAAGTAGCTCGCGTGATGGTAAAAGAAATGTATATAGTGATATTCCAATAGTAGCTTAGGTGTGGCATAAGGCCGAAAGTAGGGGGCACCCAGTGAGGATTGAACCCACTACTCAGTCGTAACTGTTCTAGCGAGACAAGCTTGCTAACCGTTACACCGCCCCGAGGTAATGTATATATGGGAAATAGTCTGGCGTCTAAGTGATCACTATCCGGATTACTTCGGAAGTGTGATTGTCAAATTATCTGCCTCCGGGTTAAGAGGAACCCAGACCAGGCTGTGACGAAGGGCAGAATATCGTCAGGGGTGGTAGACATATAATCTGGCCCCGGGAAATTTTTGACCGAGCATACCGGATCGGATACCCTACAATAAACTTGGCCTTGTGCCGCATCCAACCACGTGGGGCGATACGCGAATATCTCACTATCCGTATTACGCCCGAGTGTGCTGGTCAAACTCCCTGCCTCCAGACAGAAAGGATCCCCAGACAAGGCTATGTCGAAGGGCAGTATCTCGTCTCGGGAGACAGCTACTCAACCCCGTTTTTTACGGGTTCTACCGGGAATATTTGGCCGAGCTTACGGCCTCAGATACCGCACAATAAACTAGTCATCTCAACGCGTGGGGAGGTTAGTGTATGTCATCATTATACTGAATACTATTCGGATTACTATTCGGTGGTTACTTTTCAATCAAGTATTATCGAGCAAGTACTATTTGTGCGAGTGTTATTCGAAGGCGTCTGACACCAGTATTGTTCAATGGCGTTACTAGAGTTGCATCTGCGATTACAAAATCTCTACTACAACGAGATTACGAAAATGACAACGAGTATTCGTTGACATTACAAAAGTGGCAACGAGTGTACGTTGACATCACAAAGATCTACAGGGAAATTTAACTCGTTCAGTTGAATATAATTACACACTGAGTTAGTTTCTTTCACTTTCGCGGTACTACCCTTGGGAAAAACATGGATCCTTCTTCCCTACCCCTCCCCAGCTATGGGTAAAATATAGACTGTCTCGAATTTAGCAATCAGTCTAAGAGAAGGAACATATCTGTCTATATTTTTGAGATGAGGTATTGGAATTGTTTACACTACTTATACTGTTCAGACTGTTGTCCACATCTTCGTTGCCATATTCACGACGTTTCGGCCATAGTAAGGCTTGGCCTTCTTCAGCTGATTAGAATTTCGAACTGAACACTTTATTTTGTCCTCCGGGGTAGATTGTTTTAGTTCCACGTGTCATACATCTTCATAATTTTCCAGTATCAGTTATCCCCCTTTAACTCTACACTCCTCATGGACACATAGCCCAGTGGATAAAAGCATTGGATGAATCCAATGACTTGACGGAAAGAACTAGAACAATCTACCAGTGTGGACGAAATAAAAGGTTCCGTTCGAATTTTCCTTTCACCTGAAGAAGGCTGGAATATGACAACAAGGAAGAGGACAACGGTCAGTAAATAAATAAATAAATAAACAGAACATCTACCTCAAATATGTGCGTCCACTAAAATATTCTTGAAACTATATACATAAAATAGTTGAAACCTAACCTGAACAAAATAAACTATGAAATCTCCACAAATATTCTTAAATGTCTATAATTGGTAACAGAGGCCATTGGTGTATACCAACGGCTTCCCATACTGAATACATCTCGAATCCATTCTCGCGTGGTCTTTTGTGACGTCATAAGCTGCGGTGCGATTTTCGCTTCCAGCGTCTTATATGCACGTGTTTATTGTTGCTTGGAAATCATCCATGTAAACAGAAACAGACTATCATCACATTCTTGTCCGTATATTGCATAATATATTGTATTGTAATTGTCATCTTTGATAACGGCTTATGTAAGCCGAAATCTTAGATTGGATTAAAAAATATGTATCAATATTGTGATTTTCTTTCTTCGTTTAAATGATAACGTTATTAAGATTATCAGACGTTATGAAAAGAATTTACATAAAATAAATAGACAACAGT